CTCCCCCTCCATCTTTCAAGGAGCCCCAGACCCCTTGCCCTGGTGGAACGTTGAGGATGTTTTGTAACTTTCCAGCAATCTGGCCCTGAAATTGAGGATCAGTTTCCTGACTGCAGAAGAGGCAAATATTCCCAAGGATTGTCCTTGATGTGAGCCCTAACAGACCAGTAGGCTAGAAACCATAACCAGCTGGGTTGTTGTCCTGTTCTTTGGGTGCTTCCTGGAGTAGGTGGTGGAAATTGAACAAAGAAGCGGGAGAGGGGTTTGTTTTTACTGTGGGATAGGGGATGGAGGAGGTTAAGGCACCATGCATGGCCAAGTGTTGTTTTATGTTTTGTTTTAATGGACTGGACTCACTCAGATTTATTTTTCTGCGACACTGGTAAATTGAATGTTTTTATGAAATACTTACACAGATATGTATTTTTTTTCAAGCCTTGTGGGGCTTTTTTAGTCTATACATGGCCTTCCTCTGGCTGCCACGCAGTTCTGATATACTTCTCTCGAAGGGTATGCTCTTTCACACCCCTCCTCACTCCATGCCCTGCCAGTCTCTCCCTCAGTTTCTAAAAAATTTGAGAACTTGCTGAAATTCACCATCTAACTGGTTCAACTCACCATCTAACTGGTTCAGCCCAGACACTCCTGAAAAAAATCTTAGATGCGGGCTGCTGTCCTTGTTTCATTCCTGAAACATTCCAGGAACTTTAGGAGAGAGGAATCTGTCTGGGAGGAAACTTCAGCCAGATAAAGGAATCTGTCACTTGTGGGCTGCTCCTCCCATCCTTAGGGGTTTTACAAGAGTTAGGAGATCCGTGTTGAAAAGTAGTGACAGGAGTAGAAGTGAAGACTTCACGGCTAGTCTTCAATTTTAATAGTGGCCCTTAGTGATCCTGGAGAAATAACTATTTAGTAATTCAGTTTTTTCCTCTGCCAATTAAGTGAATATTACTTTATACCTCAAAAATTTTTTCACGTATTTATGGATAAATAGTTGGCACCTGTAGGCTTAGATTTCCCTGATTATTTTCCTAGTGGACTATTTCTGGGCTTATAAAGCTGAAAGAGTACATAACTAATTGCCTTATAAACTATTTAATTCAGAATTCACCTCCCTGCCTGGTGACTAGAAGTATGACCAGTTGAATAAAATGAATCCCACGGTGACTAATAAGTTTGAAAACAGGGAGACACATTTTGTTGTTGTTATTACTTTTGGTTTTTCCAGTGCTGGGCATAGAACCTAGGTGATCACACATACTAGGCAAGCACTCTCCCATGGTGCTACACTCTAGCCCAGTTCTGGATTTTTGACAATTACATAATACCGTGTATCTACCATTTTAACATCATTCAGAATAATTTCACTTCTAAAAATCCTCAGTTCTCTGCTACTACATCCCTCACTTCCCTCTAGCACCTGGAAACCACAGATCTTTTGCTTCCATAGTTTTGCCTTTTCTAAAATGTCATGCAGTTGGAATTATATAATACATAGTCTCTTCACATTGGACTTTTTCACTTGGTATATGCATTTTTTTTTTTTTTTTTTTTTTTTTTTTTTTTTTTTTTCCGGTACCGGGAACCGAACTCACGACCTTGCGCTTGCCAGGCAGGTGCTTTTGCCGCTGAGCTAAATCCCCAGCCCCCGGTATATGCATTTAAGCTTTATGTATTTTCGTGGCTTGATAGATTTTTTTAACTGGTGAATTGTATTCTGTTGTTTGGCTATTTATTTATCCATTCACCTTATAAAACAAATCTTGCCAGTTATAGCTAAAGCTACTATAAACATCCATGTACAGGTTTTTGTGTGGATGAAAGTTTTTAGCTTATTTGGGCTAATACCATGGAGCGAGATTATTAGATTACTAGATAGTAAGAACGTGTTTAGGTTTTTTTTTTTTTTTTTTTGTGGTACCAGGGATCGAACTCAGGACCTTGCGCTTTCCAGGCAGGCACTTGTGCCACTGAGCTATATCCCCAGCCCCAAACATGTTTAGTTTTGTAAAAAATATAAGAAAAAACTGCCAGTGTGTCTGCTACAGTGAATAGCCTGTTGCTTTACATGTTCACTGTCCTTTTACAGATAGGTCTTTTACAAATATTTTCTCCCAGGCTAAGACTAATTTCATATTTTTTTATGGTATCTTTTGCCGAGCAAACACTTTTAGTTTTAATAAAGTTCAGCTTATCAATTATTTCTTTTACAGATTATGTCTTTTTTGTTATATTTAAAAAGTCACCGAGTGTGATGATGCATGCCTGTAATCCTAGCACTCTGAGGCTGAGGCAGGAAGACTGCAAGTTCAAGGCCAGCCTGGGCAATTTAGCAACTTAGTGAGACCCTCTCTCAAAAAAGGGGGGCGGTGGACTGGGGTTGAGTGAAGGCTGTGGGTTCAGTCCCCAGTGCTGAAAAAATAAAGTTGTTACCATATCCAAGGTCATGTTATCTTGTGAGAATTTATAGTTTTGCATTTTACATTTAGGTTTATGATCCATTTGAATTAATGTTTACAAAAGGTGTAAGGTCTGTGTCTAGATGCATTTTTCATGTATAGATAGTTGTTCCAGCATCATTTGTTGAAACAACCTTTTGTTCGTTGCATTATCTGTGCTCCTTTGTCAAAGATTAGTTCACTATATGTATGTAGGTCTATTTCCGGGCTCTTCATTCTGTTCTATTGATCTTTTTATCTTGGTTTTTTTTTGTTAGATTGAATCATTGTATATAATAGTAATGAAAAAGTAGTCATACAGACTGTAGATAATAAGTAAATATTCCCACTTCAAATGCTTACAAAAAAGAAAAGCAAAGGTCTTGGTACAAAGAGGCATTGAATGACCTTTAGCATAATGACAACACTAGCAAAATTATTCCAGAGTACCTTGTTGCACATAGGTTCCAGAAAAAAATGATTCTTAGATAATGTGTATCTTTACTCTAGACATGCATACTGTTTTCTCCCTTTAGGACGTAGAAACATCAGAACGGTTACCGAGATAAACTAACAGTGTGGAGCTAAAAGTTCTACTTTATATAGATTTTGTTTTAGTTTCTAATTCTATAAACGAAATCTGAGGAGAATGTCTAGCACACCATAGCATACAAACCTGATATATACTTCAGGTTTTATTACAGAGGAGGCAGTGGTGCAGAAAGTGAACAGTAACAATGCTGTGGACTTACAGTATAAAATGAGAACTTGATATAGATTCTGTGAAGGTGAGTGGTTGGATAATGAGGGGAGTGAATGATTAGTAAATATTCTACCATGTTTCAGAATAAATTTATGAGTCCTAAGGTTTTCAAATTTTCAGGGCAAGAAGCCTCATGATTCCTACAGTATTTTCAAATGAAAAAGGATTGTCACAGATTCTTTTTTTTTATTTTTTTTATCTTAAAAGTAAAAGGAAGAAAACAGTAACAGACAGACAACCTTTTACAAAATAGCAAAAGAACAATACAGACAATACAGAGTTACAAACAAAGTGGAGGAAATTGACAATGTTTGTTGTATTACATATTGATATCTTCAAAGTGGTTTCTCATGAAAACAGATACAGACATGCAATATTGATCAATCAAGGACTCATTGACAGTTTCTTTCAGCAAAGAAATAGAAGACAGTAGAACAACTATGTTAAATATCCTGTATATACATACATACAACATTTCTCCTTTCCCTTCTCTTTTCCCACATCCCAGTTGCCCTTTACCCTTGAGTGTTTTCCTATCATTTCACAGTGTCTATCATACCTCCGAGTTTAAATTAACTCTTTCAGGTTTTACACTAGTGAGACAATGCAGTGCTTGCACATGCAGGTCTGATTTATTTCACTTATGAGTATGGTCTCTAGTTGTGTTGTGACCATTTACCTATAAAAGCTTCGAGTTTATCTTTCTTTATAGCTGAGTAATATTCCATTCTATAAAAGTACCACAGTTTTCTTATCCAATCCTCGGTAGATGGACATTTGGGTTGCTTCCACAATTTAGCAATTACAAATTGTGCTGCTATGAACATAGGTGCACATATATCACTGTGATATGATGTTTTTAGATCTTCTGGGAAAATACCCAGATTTTTTCTTGTTTTGTTTTTTCCCTGCTACCGGGAATCAAACTCACGACCTCGTGCTTGCCAGCCAGGCGCTGTGCTGCTGAGCTAAATCCCCAGCCCCCCAAATTCTTTTTATTGGTTGCACATGCATCTTTCTTCATCAGGCATATGGCATTATTAGAACAAAGGTTGGGCAGAGAACAGAAAGTTCTATATAATTTTCACTCCTGCTTTCTAGGAGAAATTGCCCAATTATCACCTCAATCCTTTCCAAACCTAGCATGCCCTTGTGTGTCAATTTGCCACTTAGATCACCCAGCTTTATTCATTTCAATGAGCCCGTGTAGGGTAATGTGTGAGAATGTAGCTTCTAGAGCCTGGCTTTTTTTTTTTAATGGTAGTAGAGATTGAACCCAGGGCCTCACTTGTGTTAGGCAAGTGCTCTACTATTGAACTACATCCCCAGATCTTTTGTAGTTTATTTTACAACAGAGCCTTGCTAAATTGCCCAGTCTTACCTCACACTTGAAATCCAACTGACTAATCCTTCAGAGGAGCTGGTATCACAGATATGCACCACCGTACCTAGTTAGAGTTTGTTTTTGAGTTGATATCTTAACATCTTCCAGATTGTGATTTTGGGCGTGTGACTTAACTGTTCTGTGCCTCAGGATCCCCCTGTTTGAAATATAGAAACCAATAGTAACTGTCTCATGGGATATGAACATGTGTGTGCTTTAATCAGAAAAGTGTCTGTACATGGCAATGTTGGTTAAATGTTAGCTGTAATTAGTCAACAAATAGTTATTGAGTGTGTGATTGAGGCCACAGGCTGATTACACCCTGAATAATATGTGGCTCTTATATTAGGGGCTCAGGGTATATTAACATTTGCCACATTCATTTCAGTTCGGCATTTTTGTTTCCATTCTGTAGTTGAAGTCAAGTGATTTCACAATCATGAAGCAGCTGCTGCCTCTGTTGGAGAAGGTCTCCAATACATATCCTGACCCTGTCATCCAAGAGCTCGCTGTTGATCTCCGTATCACCATCGCTACCCATGGAGCCTTTGCCACACAGGCTGTCAGTGTGGCTGCCCAAAGTACACTGAACAAAAAAGGCCCAGAAGGGAGAACGGAAGAGAAGCACCAAGCCGGTCATGACACACAGGCAGCTCAGAGCCATCTTGAACAACAGCAAAATCATGAGACATCCCCTCACACAGGCCAAGAGTCTGATGTTCCATTCATTCCAAAGGGGGTCAGTGAACCCAACACTACTACAAACCAGAAATCTGTATGCATAACCACAGAACAGCTCCAAGAGGTTCTTTTATCAGCTTACGATCCTCAGATTCCAATGCGGGCTGCTGCCCTGCGTACTCTTTCCCGATGGATAGAGCAGAGGGAAGCAAAAGCCCTCGAGAGACAAGAGAAACTCCTCAAGGTAAGTACAGCGCACTGTAAAGATACATTGGCACAGAGTGGGCAACTATATTCAACTTGAGTGTTTTTGGAGCATTGTTTTTGTAGTTTATTTTAACGACAGAGCCTTGCTAAATTGCCCAGTCTTACCTCACACTTGAAATCCACCTGACTAAGCCTTCAGAGAAGCTGGTATCACAGATATGCACCACTGTACCTAGTTAGAGTTTGTTTTTGAGTTGATATGTAAACATCTTTCAGATTGTGATTTATCACAATCTTCCAGATTGTGATTATATTAAGCACTGCCATAGATATTCCTCCAGGATGTTATAATTGTTCTGACGAAGCAAGACTTATACACAGGAAGACTTTTTTTGTTTTGTTTTTTTTTGAGACAGGGTCTTGCTGTGTAGCCCAGGCTAGACTTGAAGTCATGGGAATCCTCATGCCTCAGCCTCCTGAGTGCTGGGATTACAGGAGTGCACCGCCATGCCTGGCATAGGAAGCTTAAATGACTATACAAGACTACTAAGTTGAACATGAACAGAGTTCCACAACTTTTACCTGCAAGATAGGCTGTGGTTAGTCGGGAAAAAGAGAGAACTGAAATCTTCTAGGGAAGGTAGATCTTAGCCTGGCTTGACAGATGGGTAAAGTCTGAGCAAATGGGGCAGGATGTGGAGCAATATGAACAGTCCTGAGATGGGACTGCCCCAGCCTGGGTAAACCATTTGTCTAAGACCAATTTCTAGCTAAGAGAAATAAGAAAAGAGTTTGCTTTCTTGAGGCTACAGATAAGGGGTCTCAAGTCTTTCTTGCTCTTTGTGAATCATGTCACTGTACTTTGTGGTTCCAGATATTCTTGGAGAACTTGGAACATGAAGACACTTTTGTATATCTGTCTGCGATTCAAGGTAAGTTTGTTCTGGTTAAAGAATTTGGAGTCTATGGATCAAAGATTACATTATGTTTATTTGCACAAAATCTCTGATGTCACATTTTGTCCATCTTCCTGCCTCCTCATGAGGACATTTTAAGTAATAGTATTGCTGGAGGATTTCCAGAGAGTCCCAGTAGAGTTTCAGTGTCTCATAATAAAATTTTTATTTATGTTCACTTAACAGTTTATAGATTAAACCAGTCATGGTAGCATACCACTATAACCCCAGCATGCTGAGAGGCTGAGGCAGGAAGATCCCAAGTTCATCCCAGCTGGGGCAACTTAGTGAGATCTTGTCTCAAAATAAAAAATCAAAAAGGTCTGATGTAGCTTAGTGTGAAGACCTTGGGTTGAACCCCAGTACCACAAAAAATAAACTAAATAAACAAGGCATTCGTAATTTAAGTCCCATTTCTTTTAATTCTGAAAAGGGTACAGAGAATTAGGCATCCTTCCCAAAAAGATGAGAAGCAAGAGATGGTGAGGTTAGAATGAACTCATTTTCCTTTGGTGCTGTCAGTGCGGTGAGCCGGGCTCCGGAGGCAGCTCACCGGGGTGCACCTCCCCAGCCCCCTATTTCTCAGCTGTCTGGTTTGGCAAATGATTTAATCCCTCGGCTGCAATTTCTTTCTTTTTTTTTAAGAGGCATAAAGAGGTCTGATAAGACAGAATTTAAAGTACACACGCAAAAAAAAATAAAAATAGAGTGCAGGCCCTCGAGAGACTAAATGAGAGTATAAAATGGTACAATTACTTTGGAAAATAGCCTGGCAGTTCCTTCAGAATATAAACCTAGACTTGACAGGACATTTCCATTCCCAGGTATATACCAAAGAGAAAGGAAAACATGTCACAAAAACCATATGTGAGTGTTTATAGCAGCATTAAGCACAATAGCCAGAAAGTGGACCCACTGTCCATCAGTGAATGAGTAAATAAACAGGAGGTATGTACATCCGAGGGAGTTTTATTTTTTTAGTTATAATAGTTAATTAAGTACTCATATACAACATGGATAAACTTCAAAAACATTATATTGCATGAGAGAAGCTGGTCATAAAGGATGATATAGTCTATGAATCTATTTCTATGAAGCGCATAGAATAGACTACTGATGCAGAAAGTATATCCGTGGTTGCCTAGGCCTGGAGTCTTGGGATATGGTTGGGAACAGGGTATAGGAGTTTTGGGAGGCGGTAATGAAAACATTCAAAAAGTGTTTGCGTGATGTCATACATCTCTGAGTGTGTGAGGAACCAGTGAATTATACACTTCAAATGGGTGAATTGTATACTGCTGTCAAACAAAACTTAGTAAAAGAGGAGAGGGCCAAGACTCTCATCACCTGGGAAAAAAGACAACTAAGTCTAGTGGGGTAGATGGTGCCCTGGAATCTGAGTAAGATCTTCAGGAAAAACTAAAGAAATCTGAGTAAGTTGATGATAAATAATCAATTATTGTATTAGTTCATTGTGACGTGTGTGTGTGTGTATGTGTGTGTGTGAATTGGGGAATGAACTCAAGGCTTTCACCCTGAGCTATACCCCCCAGTCCTCTTTCTATTTTCAATATATATTTTTTTCATTTTTGAGACAGATTCTTCCTAAGTCACTGAGTTTCTCGGGCTGGGCTTAAACTTTTGATTTCAATGCCTCAGCCTCCCAGAGTGCTGGATCACAAGCATGTGCCATCATGCTCAGTGGATAAATATACTTGTATCATACTTACATATAATGTAAGGTGTTAATAATAGGGCAGGCCAGGCAAGATCGCTTATGCTCATAGTCCCAGCTATTCAGGAGGCTGAGGCAATGAGGATAGCTCCCACTCAGGAGTTTGAGACTGGCCTGTGCAACACAGCAAGACCCCATTTCATTAAAACAATAATAACAGAGGCAAATGGGTATAAATACATGGAAAGTCTGTACTATATTCTCATTAATTCTATAATCTGAAACTATTCTTTCATAAAAAGTTTATTTATAAGGGGAGCTAATACTAAATAAATGAGTTAATGCTAAGTTAAATGAGTTAATGCCTGGAAAGTGCTTAGCACATAGTGTTCCATATCTGTTAGCTGCTATCATTACTGTTGTCATCATCATCACTGTTACTTTTGTTGGATTGCTGGATAATAATGTGGGGACCTGTGTGACTTCTCAGATCTAAATCTTGAGTAGGCTTGTTCTGTCAGTTATTGCTGCTTAACAAACTACCTCCACACTCAGTGCCTTAAAATGATCAGTGATTCATTATCCTTTATGCATTGCAGTTGAGGCTCAGTGTATCTGGGCTGGGCCTGGCTGGGCAACTTTGCTTCTCCCTGCAGGTCTGGGACCAGCTTCAGCATCTCTGTGCATGGATTACTGGTTATCCCTGAACCAGTGGTCTGCCAGGGCATGTTCTCGTGGTGACAGCAGGAGTTTTAGAGAGGAAGCATACATGGAAGAGGCCTTTTCAGGCCTCAACTTGAAACAGGCACCCTATCACTTCAGCCTCATTCTTTTGGCAAAAGCAAGTCATGTGGCCCAACCCAAAAGACAGGAGTGAAAAAATATGCTGTATCCCTGGGGTGAGACAAACTGCCAAGTCACATAGCATAGGTTATAGATGCAGGGAGGGGTGCAGAATTGGTGCCAATAGTGCAGCTCTTCACACTGATATTTGCCTTGCAAACATTGCTACTGTCTAGTTTCTGCATGTAATCTAGCTTTGCTCTATAGAGATTTCTTACTTATTTATTTAATTTTGGTTTTCAGTTTTTTTGAGACAGGGACTCACTATGCAGTTCAGGCTGGCTTGAACTTACTGCATAGCCCAGGCTGGCCTTGAACTCACAGCACTCCTGCCTCAGCCCCGTAAGTGCTGGGACTACAGGCGTGCACATGCCCGGAAAGACTTCATATTTAAAGTTTAAGAGCGAGTGCAAAGGGGACTTGAGCCAGGGATTCTTAATTTATTCAACACATAGTGTACATCTACTAGGTATAAACTATTTTAGATTAACCGTGAGCTGTGACTAGGCTAAAAGACAAAAAGAATGCTTCAAAGGAGAAGAAAGACCACCCAAAGGAGGAAAAGGACACCAGGTGAAAGTGGAAACCTGAAGAGTAGAGATAATAAACCTGCAGCTGAGCGGTCCAGAGCCCTAGGGGCTCAGTAGTACTCAGGAGGCCACATGAGGCTACAGGACAGGGAATGGTATTTATAGGAATCAGATAAATCAATGAAGCAAGAAGCTAAATTGCCTCTAATTATTAAGTCTCACAAAACGAGTCACCCAGTACTTTCCCCAAGAAACTGTAGTACTGTTAAGGAGATGTTTTTCATTGATTTTTTTTTTTTTTTTTAGGTCTCAGTTTTTGGAAAGTGGTGGCATGTCATTCTAATGTGGTAACATTGGTGCCTGGAATAAGCTTCTTAGCTGATTAACCCATTGAGCTCATTAGCCTCAGATCTGTAAAAATCGCAACTGTTGGTGTTGTGTTTGTTTTGAGCAATTTTAATTGGTGTGCTAATCAGTAGCTAATTTGATGATGAAGAACATGGGAGGGGGAGGTGTAATTTCTGTTCTCAGTTCCCCAAGATGGACAAGATTGAACTAATTGATGTTTTTGGTGTTTGAAATATGCACTTAAAAGCCAAGGCCTTAGGTGAATTTCCCATTAAGAAAGGAAAGAACTGAATTTTCCCACCTGTGTTGCCAATGTAGTTTGCCCAGGCCTAAATCACGCTAGCAACAAAGCCATTCTGGACTCCAGTCAGACAAGTCCTGCAGACAAGAGGTGTTTGGTTGTCCTTTGAGTGGTGTTTAGTTTTGGAGAATATTTGTGTGTATGTTTAAAGTTTTCCTTTTTTAGGCTGCTTAAATGGCTCTATGTGTGAGGCACCTCCTTGCTGGTTGAGTTGTCCTGGAAGCTTTCCCATGTATTCAGAGGTGCTTCTTCAGGCAGAGAATTAGATACAAAATTGGCAAGTTTCAGCTGCCATCCACTTTACAGATAGATGACTTGATCTTAAGCCTACTGACTTAAATTAAGTATCTCTCCTTTTTTATACTTCTTGTATATTCTTTCTTTAATAATGATGTTTTTAATCATCATTATTACTACACAAGTAGTACATCCTGATTGTCAATTTCAGTGACAAGTACATAAGGTAAAAAGCAGAATTCCTTCCCTTTCCCAAGGTAGGAGTTAAAATATATTATTCATAGTCCAGTACTATATTGTAAATTTTGGGGCATTTTTCACATTTAAGTTTTGAAATAATTGTTTAGTCATGAATATGATAAATGATATTTTTCAATAAGATGTTATACTCAGATTTTTAAAATCATACCGTGGGTTTTGTTCACATGTTCTTTCAGTCATTTTTAATTAAAGGACATTTTGAAAGCAGCACATGCATTTCAGGGAGCCAGTTGATCCATCTCATGCCACGAGGATCTTTGGTTTTGTTATTGTTTCATGGGAAGTGCTGGATATTGAACCCAGGGGCTCATGCATGCTAAGCAGTCACTCTACCACTGAGCTACACCCCAGCCCCCAAAGGATCTTTGGATAAAACTACCAAGCCCATTAAAAACTAAAAACAGAAAAAACAGCTATGCCCTGAACAAAGCACGGGAGGTAAAGGTATTCCACTGTGTACAGTGAAGGGAATCTGGCTATGTTGGCATGCCTGGACAAATTACACTCACTCTTCCACCCTCATTCTTTTAGAAAAGATTCTTCATTTCTGTCAAAAGAGCCAAGAGGGAGAGAAAGCAGAAGACCAAAAGGGGGACTACCAAGGTGACATTATTTTTACAGAGTTTCAAACTCAGCAGGTTACAAGTCTTAACTTGCCAACCACTGAACTCTTATTCTCAGATTTCTACCTCAAATAAAGTAAGTTGGCAAGCCGTTAACTGAAAATAATCCTATCCCTTGAAGGATCATCTAATTGGAACTGGCACAGAAATTCGGAACG